AGTCCCGATATGTCACGTGATGCCACCATGAAGATGTGAGTTTGACACCCCTGTTTAAGACTATATAAAACATAAAAAAATAAAATAAAAGCAAGACTACAAAAAACAAGTCCGAGATCTCAGACTATCATAGCATAGGGACTCTTATCTGGGAAGTTGAAGAACAAAAATGTCACAAGAATAATGGTAAAATATAAGGCTATCGTGCTCCTTTTAATCCTCAACGTATAACAGTTCATTTAGTGACTGTTCAAAGTTACAACAGCCCTAAAAAAAGTGACTTATGACTGTTACAACCATTGTAATGTCCCAGGGTCATGTGATCACTTTCTGTAACTTTCTGACAAAGTCAATGCAGAAGTCAAACTCACTTAATAACCATGTTACTAGCATAACAACTGCAATAATTTACTTAGCAACTGTGGCAAGAAAGGTCATAAAATAGGGCAAAATTCACCTAACAAATGTCTCACTTAGCAACAGAAATCTTGGACTCAATTGTGTTCATAAGTGAAGGCCTACTTGTATCTTAAAGGACAAAAACAGAAAGGTTAGGTGAGCTTAGGCTAAACCTTTCACGAACTCCCTAGGAAGAGGGCATTAAACAGATGACAGATTTTGCCCAAGATATCATAGCACTCGTTTAAAAACCTTTTAGACAAAACTGACAATTATATAACATTTAGAAGTGATCTTTAAAAAAATAATATTAAGACATTTGGGTTTGAAAAAGATCTATGTTGCACACTTTTAGTTAAACTGAATCCACACTTAACTACAATTGTTAGATGATGGAGAAGAAAAGATATTTCATGTAGCAAATACCTTTGGCGGCGAACAGTTTTTTGTAATGCACAGCCATGTGATCTTGAACAATGTACTGGCTTGAGAGCTTGCAGGAAGAACTTGGAGAAAAGGCTGAGGAAATTTAAAAAAATGGCTCTAGTTAATGGATTTAAGTATCTGGCACATCGATTTCTGAAGAATTCTTACAGCTTCAAGAGAAATGCATTTTCTGATTATGATACCTGAAGCAAAGGAAGTGGTATTTTAATGTGGCTATTTCTTTTTGTACCACTTTAACATAAAGTAATAAATAAATCAATAGAAATAAATAATGAATGAAATCTTTGTATGTATATTTATTAAATCTGAACTTCTTTTTTTATAAATAAATTTTATTGATTTTACAATTAAAACAAACCAACAACACATACACAAATGAAAGAAAAGAAAAAAAGGAGAAGAAAATAGAAAGAAAAAATAGAAAACAATTAAAAACATTCTCATCTTCAACAGTTTGTAAGATCTCTCTTTTTTTAACCCTTAATTTATGCCATATACACACACCTAATCCTTACATATATCTATATATCACTACTATGGATTTATCCTATCCTCTTTTACCTTATAGTGTAAAATCTATCTTTGGTCTATCCATTTGTACCAGCAGTTCCAGCTATTGTAGTATATTGAGGTGTCTTTATTTTTTAGTGCCAAAGTTAATTTGTCCATTTCTGCACAACTTGAAATTTTTTGAATGATCATTTCCTCTGATGGAACCTGAGGCTGCTTCCAACATTGGGCAAAAGCTAATCTGGCCGCTGTCAAAATGTGTATTATTATGTATTTTGCTTTTTTTGATATTTGTTCGTCAAAGATCCCTAACAAAAAGGACTCTGGTTTGTATTCGATCTGCTCTCTTGTCATTTCTTCCAGCCAAATTCTAATTTTCTGCTAATATTTTTGAGCTTCTGTACAGGACCACCACATATGGAAAAAAGTTCCCTCTTTTTTTTTGCATTTCCAGCAATTCGGACTCATATTGGGGTGCATCTTCGCTAATCTCGAAGGAGGAAAGTGCCATCAATAAAACATTTTATAGGCATTATCTTTATATGCTACCGACTTTGTAATCTTATTGTTTCTACCCCAGACCTTTTCCCATTCTGTTAAGGTGATGCTACATCCTATATTCCTACTCCAGGCAAACATGTTCCCTTTTACAATTTCTTCTTCTAATTCGACTTCTAATAAATAATTATAAAATTTTGTTATATTTTTTTTTGCCTGATCCTAATAAAATTTTATCTAATTGCTGGAGTTTATTGTTGATTCTGAATTCTTTCTTGTCCTTTTTATATCTGCTTTGAACTTGAAGGTATGCCCACTGATCAATTTTTTGTCCTCACTCTTGAAGTTCTTGCCACGATTTCAAATTTCCTTGTGTATCCAATAGGTCCTTATATTTAATCATTTTAGTGATATCCAGATTATTTGGGTGAATCATCACCTCCATTGTTGAAATCCAAATTGGTACTTTTAAATAATGTTACAAGACAAAGAGCGAAACAGAATTAGTTAAATGGAAGAAGAAGAAGAAAATACTATCAATTAATATAAATGGTTTAAACTCGACAATAAAAAGGAAAAGGATATTAGCTAAACTAATCAAACAAAATGCTGATATAATATGCCTACAAGAAACTCATATAAAGAAAACAGATGAAAAACACCTAGAATGTCTGAAATTAGGGAAGCTATTTACCACACCAGCAGACACGGGGAAAAAGAAAGGGATTGCAGTATATGTTAAAGAGGATTTGAAAGCAGATTTAATATGGTCAGATTCTGAGGGAAGAACTCTGGTTTTGCAGATCTGGATCAATGCCATCCCAATTCTCTTAGTGGTAATCTGCGCCCCGAACGGAGATCAAAAAGAGTTTTTTAAGCATCTTTATGGAAAAATAGTAGGATTGGAAAAAAGAAATATTTGTATCATAGGAGACTTCAATTCTATTGCTGAATATCAAAAAGACCACAGTAATGGGGGGGAGAATAAAGGGGGGGAAAGAGAGTTTCCCAAGATTTGTAGGGAAATGATGAAGGAGTTAAATTTGATTGATATATGGAGAAGATTACACCCCGAGAAAAAACAATTCACATCCTACTCAAATCCCCATCAAATATGGATACGAATTGACATGGCATGGATGAATGGGGAAATAGCAAATGAGATAAAAGAGATTGAAATTTTACCTAATGAATGGGCAGATCATAATCCAATTCAGATAATATGGAAGGGTAGGGAAAAACCAAAGAAAAGATGGACGTTAAATACTCAATTAATAAGAGAAAAAGAATATACTAACAAACTCAAGGAGGAATTAAAATGATAATGGAGTAACTACTAAACAAAACATTTGGGATACAATGAAGGCAGTAATAAGAGGTATAACAATCTCTTATAATGCCAAGAGGAATAAGGAAAAATATGCCCAGCAAAATAAATTACAACAAAAAATTAAGGAACTAGAAACTCAATTACAGAGTACCCCAAAGGATTCAAAATTGAAAAATCAGATAATGATAGCTAAACATAAATTGAATTTAATTGAACAAGAGAAAATGATTATAAATTTGAATTTGACTAGACAAACTTATTTCGAGCATGCTAATAAGCCAGGGAGATGGCTATCTTACAAACTAAAAAAAAGGAAAGAAAAGAGATTGATATACCAGCTAATAGATGGAAAGAGGGATATACAGCAGGAGATAGAACAGAAAAAAGAAATTGCTCATAAGTATTTTGAAGATTTATATAAAAAGGAAGATGTTAATGAGGATAGAATAAGAAACTATTTAGATGAAGTGAAGGATAAAGCAATTGGGGAAGAAATAGTAGAACTATTAAACAAAGACATCACTTGGTTGGAATTGAAATTAGCAATAGAGAACCAGAAAAAAAAAAAAAAAACCGGGCCCGGATGGGATTCCAGGGGAGCTGTACAAGGCAATTGCAGAACAAATTGGACCTCTTATGGTGGAAGTTTTTAATGATGTTTTATTGGCAGCCAGGATGCCGGACTCATGGAGGGGGGCATTGATTTCGCTGATCCCGAAGGAGGATTTGGATCCCCGATATATAAACAATTATAGGCCAATTTCACTGTTAAACACCGACTACAAAATATTTACTTCTATTATAGCAAGCAGACTAAAAAGAATGCTAAACGCGCATATATATGAAGACCAAAATGGATTTCTCCCGACCAGACAAATCAGGAACAATTTAAGAATAGTACTAGATGTCTTAGAATTGTATGAAGCTCACCCCGAAAAACAAATTGCACTTATGTTTTTAGATGCAGAGAAGCCCTTCGACAATTTAAATTGGCAATTTTTAATCCAAAAAATTTATAATATGAATTTAGGCACCAAATTTGAAAATATTATAACAACTATTTATGATACACAACAAGCTAATATTATAATAAACGGGGAATATACCCGCCCAATAAAAATAGAAAAAGGAGTCAGACAGGGCTGCCCACTCTCACCCCTGCTCTTCATATTATCATTAGAAACATTATTAATGCGAATTAGACAGAACCCAGATATAAAAGAATTAAAGGTTAAGAAAGAAGAATATAAGTTGCAAGCATTTGCGGACGATATGATTTTTTTCATTGAGGAACCAATAGAAAGAGGACAAAAATTGATGAATGAATTAGGACAATTTGGAGCAAAAATTAATAGGAAAAAACTAAATTAATGACTAAAAATTTAACAGAAAAACAGAAAATACAGTTAGAAGAAGTTATGGAAATACAAGTGATAAAGAAAGCTAAATACTTAGGAATATGGTTGACAGCACATTGTAAGACACTCAAGGAAAATAATTATGATAAATTGATGCAACAGGTAAAGAAGGATTTAGAAACATGGGGTAAGCTGCAACTTTCATTATTAGGCAGAATCGCTGCCATTAAAATGAATATTCTTCCAAAATTTCTATATCTATTTCAGATGATCCCAATTAAAGTACACAAATTTTTTTTTTTGAAGAACTCAACAAAATAACTGTTAAATTTATTTGGCAAGGGAAAAAACCTAGAATAAATTTAAAGGCAATGGAGGATATGAAGAGCAGGGGAGGACTGGCACTTCCAAATTGGGAGTTGTATTATATTGCTGCCTCTTTAGTATGGTTGAAGGAATGGGTGAATTTAACTAACAAGAGAATATTATTTTTAGAAGGCCATGATTTGCAGAGGGGGTGGCACGCTTTTTTATGGGATGTCGGGAAAACTAGTCAGAAATATTTCCACAGACATCTAATCAGAGACTCATTATTAACTAATTGGAAGTAAATCTGCACTTCTTTGTATGTTACCTCTTATATATAGTTCTTAAAGAATATTATAGGTTTAATTTTCCAATAAAATCTCTATTTGAAAAGATTTTAAAAGCTGATTATTTTTTACCTCAGGAGCTAAGAAATAGAAAAAAAGATTATTGATGTCCATTTTTCTAGGAAGCTAGAGTTTTGTTTTTTTTAAAAAAATTAGTCTTCCCCTATCTCCTCCAAACTTCTCCTCCAGAGCGTTACTTTAGTTGGTATGAAGGAGAGTACATGAATGCAAAACATTCAGGAATTTGGAATGACTGTTTATATTTCTGTTCTTGCTTTCCAAACTTAACACTTGGTTAAATATTCATCTTACGCACTATCATCATTTGATAAAAAATTATTCTGGTGGAAACAAAGCCTCAAAATAACTGAAAACAAGAGAAAAGAAAGCTGCAAAACTTATTTAAAAAATTTAAGGCCAGTTGTTGAAAAGCAAGGGAAAAAGTTAAATGTGTCATTTTCTTCCCACTTTACATGCACGGTTAAGTTTGATTTTCAAATCTGTTCCAGTTGAGCTCCAAGATCAAAGTACAACAATATCAAGTCTCACCATGCAGTGCTGACCACTGAAAGTGGCCTCCATAGTAGAGCATGGAAGACTTCATTTCTGAAAGACGGACACACACACAAAAAGCTAAACTGCAAACTCCTTCTGGGAGAATGTCCTTGAAACAGATGGTACAAAATTACAGCTTTTTGATAAGTCACAGCAACTCAATGTTCA